AAAAAAAAAAAAAAAAAAAAAAAAAACAAAAAAAAAACTTACTAATTAGCTAGAGTAATCAAGACAATGTGACACGGGTAGAGGAACAGACATACAGACAACAGAGTTGAGAATCCAGAAATAAACCCAATCATTTATGTCAGCTGATTTTCAATAAGGACGCCAAGACTATTTCAATACGGAAGCCAAGACTATTTATAGAATTATCCTTTCAACAACTAGTGCTGGTACAGCTGAATGTCCACATACAAAAGAATAAAGTTGGACTCTATCTCACACCATAAAAAATTAACTCAAAATGGTTCAAGGACCTAAATTTAAGAGCTAAAACTATAAAATGCTTAGGTGAAAACACAGGTGCAAATCTTTGTAACCCTGGGTCAGGCAATGGCTTATTAGGGGATACTAAGTGCTCAAGCAACCAAAAATCTATTGGATCTTATTTAAAAAAAAACAAAAAAAAAAACACACAAAAAAAAACTTTCGTGCTGCAACGGGCACCATTAAGTGAAAAAAAAAAAAAACAAAATAGTAGAAAATTTTGAAAATATATCTGGTAAGAGACTTGTATTTTCTTATTACATCTGAGTAACAGGAGACAACCTACTTTTAAAATGGGCAAAGGGTCTGAATATCTTGTCAAAGAAGACACATCACCAATAAGCAAACAAAAAGACACCCAACATCATTAGCCATCAGAGATATGGAAATAAAAACCATCATGAGACACTGTTCATATCCACTAGCATGGCCGAAATCAAAAGGTAATAAGCGTTGGTGAAGTACGGAGAACTGGAACCCTCATACACTGCTGGGGGGAATATAAAATGGTGCAGTCACTTTGGAAAACAGTATGCCAGTTCCACAAAATGTTAAAAGTAGAATTACCATATGATCCAGAAATTCCACTCCTAAAGTTGTATCTCTAAGAACAACTAAAACATGTTCACACAAAACCTTATACTTGAACATTCTCAGCAGCATAATAGCCAAAATGTGAAAGCAGCCCAAATTCCTACCAACTGATGAATGGATAAATAAGATGTGGTATATCATAGAAGGGAATATTATTCAGCCATAAAAAGGAATGAAGTACTGGTTCATGCTACAACAAGGATGAATTCTGAAGACATTAACACTAGGTGAAAGAAGACAATCACTCACAAAAAAAACCACATGCCGTGTGTCATTTAACAGAAAACAATGTAGAGACAGAAAGCAGATTAGTAAGTAGCTGCCTAAGGCTGTGAGAGGACGGGGAAGGAGTATGACTGCTAATGGGCATGGGTGGTTTTTTTTTTTTTTTTTTTTTTTGGAAGGGTGATGAAAATATTCTAAAATAGACTGTAGTGATAGCTGCATAGCTAGCTCTGTATCCAAAAAAACGTTGAATTGTGCACTTTAAATAGTGAATTATAATGGTATATCAATTATCTTTCAATAAAGCTGTTTTTTTTAAAGAAAAAAAAAACATGAGAAACAAAATATAAAAACCTACTTTATCCTAAAATTAAATTCATGCTATTAAGTAATCTACATTTCTGGAGGAGACCATTCTATGAAATACAGAATGACTTTATCATTGCTGTCATACAAAGTAACCACGGTCTGAACGAAATGTATCACTTAGAAGGTTCATCTTCCCTAGATCTGGTTTTCAACAAGTCTTCTAAACTTACACTCTTTATTTTCAATGCAACACACCAAACTAAAGAGGCCTGGCAGCCAAATTTCATGATTCACACAAACTGCCCTGCTGTTTTCAGGACGCTTGTAATATATTCAAGAAACATGAAACAAACAGATTCTATGCCAGGATTACTGCTTCCTGCCAAAGCAATGAGAAAGAAGAAATTAATCTAGATTATGTAACAGATAAAGAGCTTACAATTATGACTAAGTTATAGAAAAATCCCAATTTTCTACCTCCCTAAGAGAGGTTTAATCTTTTAAAATTCTAGGCTCAGGATTTTCTTCTGAAGCAATAAGGAATTATGTTAAAATTCACTTAAAAATCAACATACATTTTATATATATGTAATTCTACAACTGCTAGGAGAGGGGTCGTTAACCACAAGTATTCTGGGGTGCAAATCCACTCATAACTCTAGTACAAAGCCCAAAAACTCAAATCTAACATAAACAACAACAGCTACAGCAACCTGTTAAGAGCAGAGAATATCAAAATATGTAAATTGAGACAATTTTGCTTTCTAAAAATGGAAGGACTTCCTTATGCAAACCTGCCCCAATAATCTGCATTAGACATTTACCTTTTGAATCTTGTTTGTGCCAGTATTTTTTTCTTGAGCACCCAGTCCTTCTGGTTTATGAACTACTTTTGTTCCATTTACAAGGCCTGAAGGCTGCCAAGAATCATCCCATGTATCTTTGGGTGTAGAAAAACACCAATCCTATAATGAAAAAATGGCAACAATAGACAGTCGAGATAAAGTGCCACATGATCCAAAAAGAGGATAACTTGGGCAAGATCAATGCAAGAAAGCAATGCATATTAAACAAAAAGGTATTTATTAACTTTCTCTATCAGTGTGACTTTCCTCCTTGCTTTATTGGTTCATACCCAGTATCCTGAACTCTGAACTCATGGATCTCCAAAATAAACACAACTGTTTTGTAGTCTTTAATATCTTTTTCATGGCTAGATTTTTTTTCATGATCATCTAGTAGTCAAACAGCACAAACATGAAGGAGAAAAACTTCAGATATTTCTTCTTACAGCCAGTGGGAAATATATTTTAAATACATATAGTTAGGCCTAATATTAGCAAATATGCTGAGTCCAGAAATCCAGAGGTTGTATTACAATGCTAAAGCAACAATAGTAAAATTAGAAAAAATGGTTTATTTACAGATCCTAAGGGCCTTGACTAGGGGCTGATAAAACAAAAATCACAATGATTAAAAGGATGGATATGCAAACATAGGCCTATGGTATATTATCCCATGATGAATCCTCTGTCCCCCTACATACCACTACCATTTTTTAAAATCATGTATTCTTTTGAATTATGGCCTGATAAGTCCTTTCGAATTCCAGAATAGACAGCTTTCTTGAGACATAGAAAATTAAATCAGTACTGATTGCTTTCTTCTTTTTTTTTTTTTTGAGAATGGGTCTTTCTCTGTTACTCAAGCTGGTGGAGTGTAGTGGGATGATCTTTGCTCATTGCAACCTCCAGTTCCCAGGCTCAAGCACTGATCCTCCCACCTCAACCTCCCAAGTAGCTGGGAACACAGGTGCACAACACCATGCCTGGCTATTTTTAGTAGAGACAGGGTCTCACCATGTTGCCCAGTCTGGTCATGAACTCCTGAGCTCAAGTGATCCACCTGCCTTGGCCTCCCAAAGTGCTAGAATTACAGGCTTGAGAGGCAGTGCCTGGCCTGATATGCTTTCTATTTTTCCAAGGATCTAACCTTCTGTGGCATTTCTTTACATGATGAATACTGATTCTTTCCACCAAGGCTTGCAGTAAACAGACAGGAGGCAGCATCACCTCTTTTTCCCATCTTAGCCTGCACAGGTAACCAGTTCTCATCCCAAATATCATCACCTATGGTCACTGACTCCAGGCATGGCATTCCAGTGGGGATCTCATCCTAAAATGTAACAGAAGACAAAGAAAAATTATCATTTACAGTTCCTATATGAGCACATTTTTAAAATTTAGGTTTTATAGTTTTTTCCTGACTCCAGGTAAAGATGACAGTTTGAATACACAATTTATTACTTTCCCTCCTGAAATGCCACCGAAAGAATAATATAGAGATTTAAGACATAATCTTCATAGTCAAAGAGAACAGAAGAGGAGAAAGCACATCTACTTTCTGGGAAAACGAACGCAGACAAGTGACAACCGATTAAGCAGTCCTGAGAAGGTGGAATCCTGAGCTTGTGGTGAAAAAATTGAGAAGCAACCCAAATCTATACCATATATACCTTAAAAATTCAGAAATATATACTGCAAGGTTTTTTGGAATTGAGGGAGTAAAATGGGAAAGAAAACAAGTGCACTGGCTGAAAGTCTGTGTAGGTAGGACTTAGATCTCCAGACACCCTCCCCTGTTCCAAGGACTTGGGCAACTATATCTCCTCTATCTGCCAGAAGACCAGAAATATTCTGGATGGTAAAACTGAGGATGGAGCAAGCAAAATAAAAAATTATTAAGGAATGAAATGAAGGGTTTATAAT